AGGGTTGTAGCCTACAGGGGCAGCCATTCTGACAGGCTGGGAAGCATAGCTCAGACAGAAGCCAGAAACAGACACTTTAAGGGAGGGGCAAAGGGAAGAGAACATTTATGCTGAGTGGGGTGCCAATATACATATTTAATAAGTTAAAGGTAGTGATGGGTTTTATGAAAGGAGAAACACACTCATGCGCCATTGAGCTTCATGCTGTCTCCGGTGGGCCCCTTGTTCAAAAAACGTGGCAATATCGTGATCTAAGGGTAGAATAGTTTTTGGCCCTCTGGCATCAAAAGTGAAGCAGAGGACAGGAAAACCTCACTGTGCATTCTCTGTAAACAGGCCAGTCAAGGGTCTCTTATCAGCAAAAAAAAAGAGAGGCAATATCAGGCAGTTGGTTGATATCGCTGGTGGAGTCTTTTGAAAATGCTGGTTCTGATCAGCAACCTTAGATTAGAAAGCCTAAACTGGTTAGGGAGGGAGGGTTGAGCATAGGGAGGCGTGCCTGAACCTCTTCCCATAGCATGCCCAGACCTCAGTTTTCAAGTTTACTCTGGAGTCCCCTTGTGCCAGGAGAGGGTCCATATCCGGTCAGTTAGTGTGGCTTCCAATTCTACTTTCAGTTTACAAGGGTATATAGCCTATTGCTCCTGGGTTAAAAAACTTGCACAGCATGTTAATTGTAATGAATATTGTGGGGACAATTGTAAGTCAATTGTAATGATAACTATTTGTGTGTCTCTAACACATCTAAACATATAAAAGGTATAGTAAAAATATGATATAATAGATTTAAAAACGTACGGCCTGTAGAGGACATTTACCCTGAATGAAGCCGGGCGTGGTGCTTACGCCTGTAATCCAAGCACTTTGGAGGCCAAGGCAGGTGGATCACCTGAGGTCGGGAGTTCAAGACAGCCGTGACCACATGGTGAAACACCGTCTTATATAAAAAAAATAAATAAAATAAAATAAAATAAAAAGCCGGGCACGGTGGATCAAGCCTGTAATCCCAGCGCTTTGGGAGGCCAAGGCGTGGATCACGAGGTCAAGAGATCGATGAACCATCCTGTGTCAACATGTGAAACCCCGTCTCTACTACTAAAAATATAAAAATTAGCTGGGCATGGTGGTGCGTGCCTGTAATCCCAGCTACTCAGGAGGCTGAGTGAGGCAGGAGAATTGCCTGAACCCCGGAGGTGGAGGTTGCGGTAAGCCGAGATCATGCCATTGCACTCCAGCCTGGGTAACAAGAGCGAAACTCTGTCTCAAAAAAAACAAAAAAAACAAACAAAAAAACACCTCTGTTTTTCAATGTTGTTTACAGAAAATTTAGGTCTCATCTAATCTGCTAAATATGTTAATCAGTGTCAGATGCTGGATTCCAATTCATTTTTAGTGTGCCTGTATGACTTTTTCCACATCCTTTAATTAAATTTATATTACTTGTTAAAAAAAAATAGGTATGGGATTGATAAATAGCAAAGTCGGCAAAGAGGTAGGCAAAGAGCAACAGAAAGGAAAGGAAGAGAAAGAGAAAGATGAAAGGAAGGAGGGAAATGCCTAAGGAAGGGCTATACCAGCTTTTCAAATGTATACGTGATAGTTTGTTTCCTAACCTGACAAAGTCATATTATTCTCTACTTTTCTGTGTGAATGAAATTTTTTTTAAATTTTGCCCAAAAAGGGAGTAGGGGTAGGGAATTTGACAGACCTAGGTTTAAATTCTGTCTGCGGATTACTTGCAAAGGAACTTCTCCAGTTCCTTAATTCTCCAAGCCTTTGTGTCTATAAGGGGACATCATCATAATAAATATTCTGTTGCACAGCCAAAGCAAGCGAATAATATGGATTAAAGCGCTTTATAAAGTGCAAGTGCTATGGAAGTATACGCTGTAATTTTACAAGAATGCGCCACAAAATTATTGCAGCTAAGAGTAATTGCAGTAAGCTCTTAGTATTCCTTTGTTACATACTCTCACAGAACCTTGACTCTACTTCACGAGCACTTACCTTCATTTGCAATAACACGTTCATTGTTGCTGTTATTTGTGCATCCTCCACACTGGTGGCTCTGGGCTCCTGATTCTATTCCAAGCCCAGCACAGTACCTCGCACATGGTTAAGTGCTCTACACCTTTTTTTTTTTTTTTTTTCGTAATCTGATCAGGATTACTTGCAGGAATGAGACTGGAAAGCCAGAAGATAGGACTCTTCTGTTTTACATTTCTACTGTTAGAACTTTTATCATAGACATGTATTACTCAGTGCAAAACTATTTGAATTTTTAATTAAAATATTAAGTGTTAAATAGCCACATCTTAATTTCATCGCCTCTCGAGGGGGAAGGTCACGTTTTACTACAGGAAATTGTATGGAAAAGGGGTCCATGATATAAAAGGAGCAGACAAGGAATGGAATGTTCCTGGGGCACCGGGCTTTCCCCGAACCTCCGGCAGTGAAGGCGACCAGTCTTAACAGCCTAAGAATTTAAGAACGGGCCGGGAGGCGCCGTTAGGAGGCGCGCTAGGGGCGGCGCGGACCTTCCCGCCTCCCCGTTACATGCCCCAGTAACCCCAGCGCCGGCGACCGAGAGTAACCCCAGCGCGGGCGGCCCCGCCGCGTTCAGACTCTCGCCTGCTCCCTCCTCAGCCAATGGGAAGGCAGCGAACAAGCCGGCCGGACGCCCGCCCCAGAGGGCTCCTCCCCGGAGCACTTCGAACGGAGTTGAACGGTCGCCCAGCCACCGGCTCAGACCTTTCCAGTGGCAGCTCCGGGTCCCGACGCCACGCCCCGCCCTGCCCTCCGCCTGCCCCATGTGCGTTCGCGGCAGTAGTCACCTTTGCCTTACAAACCTTCAGACCCGCCCTCTTTCTACCTTGCCGCCCTAGGCCCCGCCCTCCGCGCGGGTCGGCCAATAACAGAGTGAGCTGGCGCAGAGGGGGCGGGCCTCTAGCCAATGCGCACGCCGCGGGCGGGCCCCGAGCCGGAATTAGGGGTGAAGCGATAGCGTTTTGCCCGCATTCGGGGCGCGCGTTGCTGGGGGGTCCCTGTGGGGCGCCCGGAGTTAAGATGGCGTCCTCAGCCGAGGGGGACCAGACGACTGTGGTGGCGCTGGTGGGGGTTCTGCAGGCGGGTTTCCAGGAGCTGAGCCTTAGCAAGTTGGCGACGGCCCTGGGCGCGTCAGAACAGGCGCTGCGGCTGATCATCTCCATCTTCCTGGGTAAGGACCCTCCTGCCTCCTTCCGCCCCTCGCAGAGTCCTCGGGGACTAGGGGAGGAATGGGGACAGGACCTCCCCCTTTTCCCGGAGCCACCCGGGAGGGCTGTGCTGGGTGCGGATGTGAATCCTGAAGCACATCAACAGCTACTGAGGGAAGACAGAAGTCCTGTCTCGAGTGTGGGGCGCTGTGCCCTCTAAAGCTCTTTCCCTTTCTCTTCAACCCCTGTCGTGCCCTCTGGCCCCTCAGTCGGGCCCCCGCCCTCTCATGCCAGGCTCTACTCTTGCTCTCACGACCTGTCTTTATTTGTCGCTCTCTTGAGTTCCGCTCTCTGTCCATGTGTCCTGCTCTGTCATTAACAACCACCCCGCACACGCGCTCATCTCATCGGTAGTCATAGGGCCCCTAACTTAGGAATTTTGGCCCTTTCAGCCTTTTCATACTTAATATTCCGAGTGTCTGTTTTGTTTATTGCCAGCTTATATTATACTTCCGTCTCTTTTCTGTCCCGTTCCTACTGTTTTCTTCTTACACCATGTTGCATTTTATTTTCCAAGCCACCTACCTGTCATTTACCCTGGAATATCGTTTTAATGCTGGACTTGGGAAACAGGACTAACAAGCTCTTTAAAAATGATCCATGCTATTCCAAGCATTTATTACATGTGTGGTTCAAAGGATGTGGTGTATCTGAATTTATGCCACAACAAGCTGTATTATAACTGGTTTATAGGCTTTTTTTAACCGCATCCTCACTCCATGGTTTAATACACGGAGGCAGCATAGTACAATGGAAAAAAGTATGGGCTTTGAAGGCAAACAAATCAGACCCAGCCTTGCTGCTGCTCACAAACTGAAGAACTCTAGGCAGGCCACATAAACTCTCTGGGCCTAATTTCCTTATCTATGAAATGAGGACAACAGTGCCTACCACATAGGATTGCTGTAAAGTCCTGTAGGAAGGCCAAGCTCAGGAAATACCTGTGTGTGTGTGTGTGTGTGTATGTGTGTGTGTGTGTGTGTATATATGTATATATGTGTATATATGTGTGTATATATGTGTATATATACACACATATATACACACACACACACACACATACACACACACACACAATTTAAGAAGTTGGAAGGTTTTATGAAGGTTATAGAACTTTAGGAGAGGGTGGGTGGGAAGGATTAAGCAAAAGTGAAAGTGGTGATAAGGAAATAGAACAGGGGCCAGAGCAGAGGGTTAGAGGTCTGAACCCTAAGAAGTTTGAGTTAAAGTTGGGGAGATATGGAAAAGCCTTAAATGCCAGAGAGAAGTTTGGCATTTATCCAGTATTCGGTAGAAACACTGACATATAATATCACCATAGAGTGTTAAGCTAATCTAGATAATGGGATAGGCATTAATTCATATTTAAACAACCTTGCCTAATAGCATTGTTACTTGCCTGTTACATATCAAATCAATATCTTCCTTTCTTCCAAATAAAGATCACCTTTTTCCTCCTCTGTAGAATTGCAAAATTTTAAAGATGGAATGGAACTGAGGCTGTGCAATTTGCTCAGTGTCACCCAGACATCATCCAGATTTATCGGCAACCCAATCTGGGATTATTTGCACTAACCAGCTTTGAACTTGCTACTCTTTTTTTTTTTTTTTTGAGACGGAGTTTCGCTCTTGTTACCCAGGCTGGAGTGCAGTGGCGCGATCTCGGCTCACCGCAACCTCTGCCTCCTGGGTTCAGGCAATTCTCCTGCCTCCGCCTCCTGAGTAGCTGGGATTACAGGCACGCGCCACCATGCCCAGCTAATTTTTTGTATTTTGAGTAGAGACGGGGTTTCACCATGTTGACCAGGATGGTCTCGATCTCTTGACCTTGTGATCCACCCGCCTTGGCCTCCCAAAGTGCTGGGATTACAGGCTTGAGCCACCGCGCCCGGTGAACTTGCTACTCTTTCATCCTGCTTCTGACTCAGTTATTTGTTGGCATTGTAATTGGCATTTACATTTGACAGGGCGCAGCAGCTCATGCTTATAAACCCAACACTTTGGAAGGCCCAGGTGGGAGGATCGCTTGAGGCCAGCCTGGGCAACATTTTATTTGTCTCTACACAAAACGGAAAGAAATTAGGCCGGCACGCAGTGGCTCATACCTGTAATCCCAGCATTTCAAGAGGTCAAGGCAGGCAGATTGCTTGAGGTCAGGAGTTTGAGACCATCCTGGCCAACATGGTGAAACCCCATCTTTTCTAAAAATATAAAAATTAGCTGGGCGTGGTGGTGGGCACCGGCAATCCCAGCTACTTGGGAGGCTGAGGCAAGAGAATCACTTGAACCCGGGAGGTGGAGGTTGCAATGAGCTGAGTTAGTGCCACTGCACTCCAGCCTGGGTGACAGAGCAAGCCTGTCTCAGGAAAAAAAAAAAAAAAAAAATTTTTAATTTAAAAAATGAGCTGGTTGTGGTGGCTCATGCTATGCCTTTGGTCCCAGCTACTCCCAAGGTTGAGGTGTGAGGATCACTGGGGCCTGAGAGTTCGAGGCTACACTGCACTCCAGCCTGAAGGATAGAGCAAGACCCTTTCTAAAAAAAAAAAAAAAAAGTATTACATTCATTAGTTAGGAAACTGTTGGTTTCTCAACAATAAATTGAGAATGTAACACAAGTAGCAACCAGTTATAAGGGGCAATCTGTTAAATGGAGTTAGGGCTGGAATTAGGACTTGGACTTCAACTTTTGTGTGTTGACATAATCATATACTGCCTGTGCACTCCTGCTGGGCTATTGCTGTGTACTGTCACAGGGCATACAGCTGACTAGGAAATTGTTTTCTGCATATTTCACTCCTCTCATCTTCTCTCATTACCACCAATCATCAAAGTAATAAACACTTGGTGTAATGCATCTACCACACTCCCAAGCCCCCTCGCTCATTCTACCATTTCCCACATCTTCCCTTCCTATCTCACATACACTATTGCCTTCAGTAACTCATAGTATTTCTCATTTTCCGATCAACCTGGGGCTTCAGTTTGCCTCGTATTAGGTATAGCTCATTCATGTGGACAGGTAGGATTATATTTCTAGTAGGCATAGATTAAATACATACATGTAACTATAAATTGATAAGCTTCATGTGTGCATGGTAGGAGTGCATTTTGGTTGTAAATATGGTTCCCTTACAAAGGTTGTTACCACTTTGTGTATTGTAACCTAGAAACCAGTAACCTTTCAGCGGTGGAGTTCCTGGTTCCTGAACCCAGCTCTCTCAGGAAACTGGGATACTGGAGGAAATCCTTGCTGGAGGTACCGAGAAAGCCTCTAGTCCAAAATGATTTCTGGTTCACTTTCTACTGGTTAGATTAATTCAGGTTAAAAACACCTCCCTAAATGCAAATACCCCAAGGGAAGAGTTAAGTCTATCATTCACATTTTAAAGTGTACGTTTTAATTAGATAGTCTAATTACCATTTAACATCTTAAAACTTTTTCTACTTCAGTTCTGTGTGCTGATCTTGGGGTAGAACGCAGAGCACTAAAGCACTAGCTTTCAAACCTTTTTGACTAAGACTCACAGTAAGAAATATGTTTTATGTTGTGACCCAGAACATACAAACGTGTATGCGTATATACATATTTGAAACAAGTTTCAGGAAAGAATGTTTGCCCTTAATTATAACCCACTAAGTTGATTTCATGACCTATTAATGAGCTACAACAGTTTGAAAGATCTAGAGACTGCAATTTTTAATATTCAATACTTCAAAGAAAAAGTAAGTTTACTGCAGGTCACGGTGGCTCACGCTGTAATCCCAGCACTTTGGGAGGCCGAGGCGGGAGGATCACAAGGTCAGGAGTTTGAGACCAGCCTGGCCAACATGGTAAAACTCGGTCTCTACTAAAAATACAAAAATTATGTGTGTGTGGTGGCACGTCCCTGTAGTCCCAGCTACTCGGGAGGCAAAGGCAGAAGAATCGCTTAAACGCGGAAGGCAGAGGTTGCAGTGAGCCTAGACTGTGCCATTGCACTCCAGCCTGGGTGACAGAGCAAGACTCTGTCTAAACAAAAAAAGTCTATGTGGACTGCTGCACTGGAATATTTTGAGCAGTGAGAAGACTATTAAGGGAGTGTATTTATGTTTGTGTCGTGTACAATTGCAAGGAGTTTGATGGAAGGATGAAGAGGAATTTTGCTATGAGCCCTGGTGCTGGCAGATACTACCAGAAAACACCTCCCCTTCAACAAGCTGGATCTCATCACTCCTTAATGTAACTAATACCATGAATTGTTCAAATAAGTTCAGTTACATGCACCTACTGCTGGTAAAGCAGGATTCTTAACCCTGCAAGGGCAAGAGCAGTGGGTGTAGTATGAGTCCCGGAGCCCCGCATATAATGGTATTATGGTCTGTTAGGGTGCAGAAATGGGCATGAGATAAGTACACTAATAACCCTAATACATTTTAAGTGCCATAAGAGAGGTACAGAGCTTTATGAGATGTAAAGATGAGATATTTCACTTGAAAATGAGTTTCAGTAGAATGAGTTAGTAAGACTTTTTTTTGTTTGTTTTTTTGAGACGGAGTTACGCTCTTGCTACCCAGGCTGGAGTGCAATGGCGCGATCTCGGCTCACCACAACCTCCGCCTCCCGGGTTCAGGCAATTCTCCTGCCTCAGCCTCCTGAGTAGCTGGGATTACAGGCACGCACCACCATGCCCAGCTAATTTTTGTATTTTTAGTAGAGACGGGATTTCACCATGTTGACCAGGATGGTCTCGATCTCTTGACCTCGTGATCCACCCGCCTCCCAAAGTGCTGGGATTACAGGCTTGAGCCACCGCGCCCGGCAGTAAGACTTAAGGAATAGCTTGAGCAGAGGCACTGAGGTGTGAATGTTGCAACACGGCCTAGGAACGGTAAATAGTCGAGTTTGACTAAAACAGGACTTTAGAGAAGTGATGGAAAATCAGGCTGGAACTCTAGGTTGGAGGGCCTTTAAAGCCAGGGTAAA